AAAGATTAGACTAGATGGACTCTAGGACATAAAATGATACTCTTGAAGAGTGTGCTTCTTAGCTCAAGTAGATACATGAGACTAAATGGGCTGCTCCTGTCCAGAGGCGAGATAAGAAGGCAGAAAGGGACAGGAGCTTGTTGAATGGACATGGGAAATCAGGGGTGGAAAGGAGGAGTGTGCTGTCACAGTATAGGGAGAACAATTAGGGTCACATAACAATGTATGTATAAATTTTTGTATGAGAGACAAACTTGAATTCTAACTTTCACTTAAAGTACAACAATAAAATAAAAAAAGGAAAATATTACAAATTAAAATTCTCCTAGGATGCCTCTGTCCTCTCTTCTTCCCATGTTTTAATTCTACGCTGAGACATTGGGCTGCCTTCTACCAAACCCTAGGCATTAGTGTGCTGAAAAGGAGTGGTATTGGCCATTTTGAATCAGACAATCATATGGTCTACTATGCCAGGAATGACAAATTGAAGAGGAATGGCATCACATACATTGTCAAAAAGAACATTTCAAGATCTATCCTGAAGTACAGTGCTGTCAGTGATAGGATAATATCCATACACCTGCAAGGAAGACCAGTTAATATGATTATTATTTAAATGTATGCACCAATCACTAATGCCAAAGATGAGGAAATTAAAGATTTTTATCAACTCCTAGGCACAGTGCTAAACCATATTTCCTGGTCTCCTTGACAGCTAGATGTAGGTATGTGGCTATTCTGAAGAAGAAAATGTGGATAGAAGTGATACAGATATATTATGGATTGAACAGTGTCACCCCTAAAATGTGCGTCAACTGGGCTAGGCCATGATTGCTAGTATTGCGTTGTTGTCCGCCATTTTGTGATCTGATGTGATTTTCATATGTGTTATAAATCCTAATCTCTGCCTGTGGTTCATGAGGCAAGATTAGGTTATATTAAAGAGGATTAGGGTTGAATGCAACACCCTTACTCAGGTCACAGCCCTGATCTGATGTAAGGGGAGTTTCCCTGGGGTGTGACCTGCACCAACTTGCATCTTGCAAGAGATAAAAGGAGAGAGAAGCAAGCAGAGAGATGCAACCTCATGCCACCAAGAAAGAAGTGCCTGGAGCGGAAAGTGTCCTTTCGACCTGAGGTCCCTGCACTAAGAAGCTCCTAAACCAGGGTAAAATTGATGACAAGGAGTTTTCCCCAGAGCCAGTAGAGAAAGCAAGCCTTCTCCTGGAGCTGGCGCCCTGAATTCAGACTTCTAGTCTCTAGACTGTGAGAGAATGCATCTGTAAAGCCATCCACTTGTGGTGCTTCTGTTATAGCAGTACTAGATAACTAAGACAGCATACATACAAAACATTCTCACGCCATGGTTGTTTCTCTTTTTCCATCTGCCTATTGAATGTCAATGGCCAAGGTGACATTGGAAGCCATGTTGGATAACAGCAGAATCATCATCCATCTTAGTTTCTAAATGACTAGGTGGTGCACATTTTCCAACTGAAGATCAGAAATACCAGCAAGGATTTTCTGTGAGTGAGAAATGCACTTCCTTGTGTTAAACTACTGAGATTTTGAGATTTGTCTGTTACAGAAGTTAGTGTTAACTAATATAGCTAGAGTCCTGGAAGATACTAAATGCTTCTGAGTATATGTATGCTTGTACTATGTATTATTATACACAGAACTCAGTTGCTAAAAACGTTGTCTTAAAAAAACTACTTATGTAAGAAAATGTGTATACAAATGTACAATTATATACATATGTGGATACATTACTATTCATTTATTGGGTAAATTAGAACCTACAAAAATATGAAAACACTAGCATATGAGTCACATGTAGTTAGGAACCTTATATATATTGTTCACCACTGCATATGCAGTGCCGAGAAGTTGCTGACATATACGATGAACTCAGCAGATATATCTTGAATACAAATACACATACATACAGTAAAGTCTGCAAAAGCTGGAACTTTTGTAAGGCAGAAACCTGTCAGAGAAGGAAAATTAAAATACTTTCCACTGAAACGAGATAGAAAAGTGGTAAGACCGCACCTTGTTAAAGGTGGAAATCTTGCGAGACCCGGAAAAACAAGGCAATCCTGTCAAGTTCCGGCTCTCACAGGCTTCACTGTATATACTCCAGCCCGTTCTGTTTGCTCTCTACGTTCTTTCCCCAGGAGTCCCTATGCTTCCCACAGTTTCTGCTGTCTCTTATATGAGGTAACTCTCTACATTATACATCCACCCTGGGCACTATTTTTGCTTTTTCAACAAACAGCCTTTATAGCTCACTCTCTCCAGCTCCCCATTTCTAACACTATACTCATGTTCCCACTCTGCTTTCTTACCAAACAAATCATCTTTCTCTCTTTCTGCCTATTTTCTCTAATAGTCTCCTCATTTTCCTGTCTCCTGTCTTTATAATCTGGGCAGTTTGTCTCAATACTTTGTCTCCCTTACGCCTTTATAAACAGTCCTTCATTGTTTCTGTAAATTTTTCCTTTGCAGTGCCTCCCACAGCAATTTTTCTTTCCTCTTTCCATCCCCACCAATGCCATGACCATAATTCTGGCCTTATGAGCTTGGACCTGGATGCTTACAATAGTGCCTGAAATTTACGCCAGAGCTTCTTCCCTCAATCCATCTTGCATGCTTCCCCTAAACTGGTCTTTCTAAAATCATCACTATCATTATTCTCTGCTCTGTGAATATTAGGTAATCTTCTTTAAGTTAAACAATGCTTTCCATTGCTTATAGCACACGGTTTAAACTTCTTAGCATAGTGTTATTGAGACCAGTCACATTAGACCCTCTCTCTTATAGCTTATCTTTAAATCTCAGTTAAGGGGAAACCCACTGAATTAATCTAATCTGCTCCTGAAAATTATATTTTAGTTAAGCTTACTAAATGACTTATACCTTCCACTATATTTATAATTTGATTACAAATTTTATCTCTTTTAAAATAATATTTCCTCTCTTATAGCTATCTAAATCAAAGGAACATAAATCAAAAACTTCCCTATCTTATTCAGTCCTTTCTATTTACGCTGGGATTTAGCATTTTCTCTGTATCTGAATTTGTAGCTTAATTTTTATGGATATGAACTTTTGATATTACACATTGAATTGTGGCAGTCCCTTGATTTCAGATTTAATCTGCTCCCTGGAGATGCATCTAGTGTGTGAGGTGTGTGTATGTAATGTGTATATATAATTACATCTTCATCCAAATGTCTTTAAACAGTGAATATAAAAATGAATGCACATGTATGCATACATTTAAAGAGACAGAGAAAGAAAAGATAGATGGAGATAAAGAGGAGAGAGAGTGGAGAGACCAGAGAACAGAGAGGGGAGACGAGAGAGTTTGTATCTTAGAAATTCCTATGTTGCCATCACACTCTCTTAACTGGGTATTATCTCCTGGGCAATGTTAAATACAATGTATTAATGATGATCTCAAACACATACAAAATTGATAAGGGTAATCAATAACAATTATAAATTATTAGTATAAATGATAATATATGTAATGATAATGATAATGATACATTTATTGAGCACTTAAACTATGCCAGGCTAAGTATAATTTTGCAGATTATTTCCTTCATTCCTGACAACTTCATGAAGACTCTGCAATTATATCCTTTTTACAGATGACAAAAAAGAAGTTTGGATAAGTTAAGCTTCCAAGGAATCCACAGGTAGGAAATGGCAGAGAGGGATTTAATTGAGACACTCTAATTTCAGGGCAACTCAATTCCCTCCTACCCTAATTAACCTTAATTCACCTCCCTAATTTTAAATCTGTCAAAAAACTCAGGTCGGGTGGTTATCAAAAATGGACTGGTGAGCATCAGAATTTCAGAGCAGGAGTATGGATCTGCTCAAAAGCTATTTTGAACACTTTTACATCTTGTCACAAAACCACCAGTCAAAAACAAGCTTTTCATGAATGAGGTCAGGAAGGGCAACTCATGTAGAAGAATGGGTTTCCTACACTCGTCCAACAGATGCATAACGACAAGGAGTAGGGCAAAGCCTACGTTGACATGAAAATTATAAAGTTAATTGAGAAGTGTTACAAAACTTGGGTTGTGCAGTCAGACAGATCTGAGTTTTAATGCAAGTGTGGCCTTTCCCTAGCATTATGGGATTGGGGCCATTTAACTGCAGTTTCCTTATTTATAAGACAGATATAAAAATACCCACTTCATATGGGTTATTGAGGGTGGGATGGTTATATGAAATAATATCTTTAAGGCACTTAACAGGAGGGTAACAGGTAATAGGAAGTGTTCAAAATGGCAATTACAATTATTAATAGAAGGAGTTTTAATAGAATATCTTATTGCTTCCATTGAGACTTGTCCTCTGACTTGACCAAATATTCCAAATTGCTAAAACAGTCTAAGAGTTTTATACCCACAATATTTTTAGAATGTAACAGGAAACAGAAGGAAACTAGGGCCTAAGATAAAAACATATATATATGATACCACCTAAGGAGAATAAATAGATTGAAACATTCAACTCTAAAACGATTTTTCTTTCAAGTTAAATAGGAGGTGCATAGTTGAAAAATGCTAGAAAGTATTTATTCCTCCAAGCAGCTACAGGCAGCTCTGACAAGCCAAAGAAGAAAATGCAAGCAGCTTAGCAGCTCCTTCTGTCTCCTTCCCACGTCCTTCACTACAAAAATCTGTTATTTAAGAAGTCTGTGAAAAACACCTTAAAAAATACAGGCTTGGGGCATTTCTTTAAACTAACAGTAGAAAAATTTAATGGCGTATAAAGAAAAGAATTTATAGAAACGTTTGATATTCTACTTTTCATGAATGAGCGGAAGAGAAGGCCTGAAATAACCCAAGTAACCTCAGATTTCTCACATTTTCTAATGATTCAGTGAGCTAACCCACATGCTCTTTTCACAGCTAATGCATCCTAGTCAACCACTTCCCACTTGATATGATGTTGAGGCCAGGGCCACTCACCCACTATTGATGTCATCAGTCCTGAGACTTTTCCCAAGGATATCGCCATCACTCATATAACCACCCACATCAACTTCAGAAGACATGTCCAGGTCACTGCTTGCTTTCTCACTCATGTCAATTTGTGACATGTTTCCCAGCCGAGAGACAGCAGCTCGACGGAGAGGCGTCGTATACATGAATCTAGAGGGATCTGTGTGGATGAATCGGCTGGTACTGCTGCGAGGGTAGCCAGCACCCAGGGAGGGCGCATCTCCCGCCTGAAGTCTAGGACAAGCCTGACCCAACCTCCAGGTCATGGGAGTGGGTCGACTTGTCAAGCTGGGTATGGTCCTTCCATTCACTTCCGTCGTCACAGTGCTGTCAAACGTCGTTTCTAGAGTGCTATCAAATAAAACGGAGAAATTACTGTTCTGTGGTTTACCAGGGAGCATAGACCATGAATGCATAAAGACAGGAGAGGCTAGCGTTGAGAGTCATTTCTTAGAATTATGTCATCTTCTTGAAAGCCAAATTGCATGTTTATTTTGAGATGCCAATCACCTCTGCAAATGTCAAAATGTGGGGAGGGGCAATCATTCTCTTTGTTTTTTGGTTGTTAGTTTTTGTTTTCAAAAGATAGGCTATCATTAATTTCAGATAAAACAAACTGTTATTTCACATTTTCAACAAACTTAAAACTTAACCCACTGTGACCTTCTCACAATTATTCTAGAAGTTAGCAACCGTTATGTTTGAAAGTCTCCCTACCACTTCTACCAAGGGTATTTCACCTTTAACCTCTGTCAAGTTGTCTAGGGAAGACAGAAGAATCCATTTCACTTCGTAAAATTGCACAGTACTGTGGTAGTTGCAGTACCTAATTCAGTTTGAATAGGAAATTACATCTAAGAAGAGATGGGTAGGAGAAAAAAAAAAAACACCCTGAGAATCTTCAGTGTAAGAATACTCATCAGTTGACTGCCATGTAAAATCGAAGTGCAAAAATAATAATGTTAGGGAAACTTCTTCTCTTTCATTAATAGACATTAAACTCTTGATTGCATTTTTTAAAATGTATTGGTTCAAAGATACGCAGAATTGAGAACCACCTGTGGCTTATCTGCGTCCCACGAAGACTGGACATAGTCTCTTCTAAATTCTGCCTCAGATCTGCTATGTTTTTAACTGTTCTCATTCTTCTTGTTTCAGGGTCTTCACCTAAAAAAGCAGCGAATATATACAATTTTATAGAGTAATAAATTTGTTATTCATGTCATTTACTGTCTTCAGAATAATTATTCATATAGATAATATAAACTCTTCTTAAAAGTAAAAGATAGAGAGGAAATTCCAAATAACTATTATCACCTGAAAATTATAATGTTCTTCCTACAAATAAATGTGAAAGGAATCAAAGGTACTATCGCTAGCAATAATTTTGAAGTGATGATTATATGATATTAGTTTATAGGTGTATGATCTTCTTTACTGTTGCATGATTGAGAGAGTCAACTGGAAATATACCATAGAGTTCTCCATGTTACTGAACTTAGTTAAAAAATCTGAAATTATTTGGATTCTGATTATTTCAATAATCATTTATTTCTAAGTACATTCAGAGCAGTTGAGATAAACTTTTCTTCTGCAGCAAATACGTATTTGGACTCTGGGAAATAAGATAGTGGCCATTTTTAATAGAAATAATATGTTCATAAATCTTGTATTTTATTAGACTCATGGATGAAGATTTACAACATCTGATGGCTTTATCTTTTAATTATTTCTCCACATTCTACAGGAAACCAAAACTCCCACACCATGACACCAGAGTTCAAGTAAATTCCTAGGCATCTAAAGCTAAAAATGTGTCTAATAGGCATGAAATGAACAGAATGACAAATGCTGGCTTTATAGAGCCACTATCTATCATTTGGGGACAAAAATTCCACTGAACCATTTTGTTTATGCCATGTAATGACTCCTTGACTAGTGGTCAGTGGAAGCTGGTGAGTCTGGATAGTAATAAGAAGATGAGAGGAAAGTAGAGGAAGCACAGTTTTTATTCTGTTCACCTTGGGCTCAGGAGGATGCCCGTGATGGGAGATTTTAATAACAAAGAAAGAACAAGAAGGAAAAGGAAGGAAGAAATTGGAATGGATGGGTTAGAGGGAGGGAAAGAAAAGGAAGAGGAGGGAAAAGAATGGTAGGACAGGGAAGAGAAGAGAAGGCAAAGAAGAGAGAATGGAAGGAAAAGCAAACGGGAAGGAAAAGCTAAAAGACAGAGAGAAAAAAAGCATATATTTAATTACACTCTGAAAATTGCCACATACACAAATCAAGCTACATTATCTATCATCTGTTAAGAATATAGGTAAATATTCAACCTGTTAATTTTCTACCTTTGTATTCATGTCAGATTTTTAATAAAAACACAACAAATGCACTCATTTAACATTCATAATCATAGAGTTACTGGGGATTTCAAAGATTGTCTTGTCTTACCTCTCAGCCACTGAGTTAAACTCGGCATCTCACTTGGGTGATGACCATCTGTCTGTGCCTGAAAATCTCCAACATTGGAAAGAGCTGCCCCTCTCCTGACTGAGATGGCTCCTTCCAATATTAGACAAGTCTAACCATGAAAATATTTCTTAGGAGGAGCAACAATTTGTCTCCCTTTAACTTCCACTCAAAGGTCCTAGTTTTTGCTTCTGAAACCAATTGAACAACTTTACACCATCTTTACCATGGCAGACAATGACTACTCATTTCTTTACTATCTTTTTCAGCCAAATATTACTACTTTGTTTGCTTATTGCTTATCCTGGATGGTTCCAAAACAACCACCATTCTGCTGCCAGTCTGCCAACCTCTTCCTATTAACTTACAAACTAACCGAACAATTAAAATATGTTTAATACTAACATTCTTATTTCAAACTTCAAAAACGCTGAAAATTTTCCTAAAGTGAATACATTTTTTTAGAAATAGAAAAATGCATTGTTTGCCCTCATACACACGGCATAAACTTTTTGCATGTCAGTTGAAGTCATTCAATCCCTATCTTTATAGATATTCTTTTAAAGCCCTGATTGTTAATAACCCTTGAGGCTCTGACCATCTTCTCCCTGGAAAATCTGCTCATGTTTCTCCTCATAAATACAAGAAAATGTATTTCAGAAATGTCTAGAAAGAAGTCTGCCTTTTTACTTCCAAGTAATCTGGTAGAACTTTGAAGATAAAGGAGAGTTTTATAGGGAAAATCTTGAAGGGTGGGGAAGGAATATCATTTAAGTCAAAGAGGAGCAAAGATGAAGAAATTTCATTCAAACTTGGTCAAAACAAATACCTAGTGAAGAAGGAGACAACATTGGAGAAGCCCTAAACCTAGGATTTAGTATATGAGATATCATACAGAATAGAAGCCTTAGATTCTAAGGGATAGTAAGGAAGAAGTCATAGAGGGAGAAGAGTGTTAAGATGACCTTTTGGTGGTGGTGGAAGAGATACAAGCCATTGACCTTATACAAGTTCTTAGAATATACCATTACATTTCCCCTATCCCTGATCTCTTTTTCTCTGGGAGAGCTTTTAAGTTGTACTCAAGTGGTATTTCAACCACTTGCCAAGTGGCACGCTACTAATGATACTGAATTATTTTCAGTATCATTCCTTTACATTAAATTTAAGAACACTGTCTGTATGTCCGATATTCAGTTCCATTAACTATTTTTTCACAACTACTTCATCTCCTTTTAAATCCTTTCTTGCAATCCAATAGATGTCTTAGATCATTGGATTCTTCCAGTTGAAGTCACTGTTGATTTATATACCTTCCTTCATGTTTCAGAACCATAGCCTCCCTTCCTCCTTTGATTTTCTCATCATAGCACCCACTCATGACAACCAGACAAATGTTCCTTCCCTCCCAACACCTGTTGAGCAAAACACATTTGCTGCTTCATCCATGTCATGAATGATGATAACCAACTAAAAATTTATTACACTAAATGTTTTCAACGACCCACGAAAGGCAAGGTAAAACTGAATGCATTTGTGCAAAGATCCTAAGGATTTTATAGTCCGAAATATCATGCAAATTTGTATCCAAATGATATCTAAAGGCCTTTTTTTTGGGGGGGGGGGACAATTGAAAAGGCCAAATATAAAAGCACAAATAAAGTTAAATGCTTAGTAACAAATGAAAGTTAGCAGAAGAATGCATTTAAAAATTTTATTTAATCACCAAAATGTATCTTCTCTCACTTATATAATCTCGACATCAATTATTCTTGTAGGAGGCTTCCTATGTTTCAGACACAATGGTAAGAGTTTCCACACATTTTCCACAACAGTATGTTCTGAAATTCACTTGAGTTTTTAACATTGTGCCAACTGCTTTCTCATTGCTTGTAAGGTCTTCTCTATTGGTGGAGAACAGAATAACAGGTTGTATTTGGTTCTTCTATATCATTACTTAGTGACAGATAAACCATTTAATCTGTATGGTCCTGCTCCTACTTTTTAGGCCTTAGTCATTGTAATTAACATTACACATTGTAATTAACACTGCCAGCACTGTCAACTTTTAATAGAAAATTAAATTACATACATATAAACCTAATTTACAGAGAATTATGTCCTCTACACCATCCACATAACAAACGTATTAACTAAAGTAGAGCTGCCTGATTTGTTTTGAAAAATAACCCTAGTTTTGTGGATGATTCCAAGTATTTTTTGGATGAAACAGGTTATCCAGATCCGTGGGGAAACAATAGTGAAAATATGGCCAACAGTTTTTAGATACTCTCGTATGTAGTTACAGTAGAGCCCTTAGTCTGTCTGAATTATTAGGCTATCCCAGATTAAAGAGTTGACCTTAAGAAGCCCTGCCTAAAAACTAACTTCAAAGAGGCCATTTTGAGTCAGAAGCAGAACCTAGTCAAGCATGTGGCAGGGATCCTGACATTCCTGTGCACTGCGGGCTTGGATATCTTCCCCAAACTTAACATGCATTGCATCATTGTTTAGGGAACTGTATTGGGATGCTTCACTATCCTGAGCTATGGTTATTAAAATCAGAGATATTTAAATAAACTCATCCCCTTTCTTTCTCACTTGCGTTTTTAAATTCTGGCTTAATGAGAGCGAAAAAAAATCCTCTTAAAGTGAATAATCACGTAACTCCAATAAGCAGATACTCAGTTTAAAAACCACGGCATACACAGATTTCTATTGAGAGGCTACCCTCTGACAGTAATGCTCAAGTTATTTATGCACAGAAAGGCATGTGTCATATCTACACCCACCCACAGCATGCTATAATTTAACAGAACAACTGATAAATACTGTCAGGGGACTGCGCTCTGTTCATAGCTTTGAAAACACTTACATAAGAGGTACTTGGAGCAAGAGGAATTCTACTATTTTAAAGGCAAAAGATGAATATTATTTGATTCTCCAGTTCCAGAGGATCAAAAGAAAAAGGAAAGAAAGAAAGAAAAAGATTCATAAGGATTAAGACTCCCTCTCTTGCCTTTGTACTGCATACAGCTCTTTACACAAGGCAGTTCATCACAGAAATCGAACAATGGTGAAGAAGTAAATCTTCAGTGGCTGAGCACCTGGTGCATTCAGATTCAGAATTGCTATTCCAACAGCTGCGGAAACGTTACTCTTTTAAAGCCAAACTGACATGAAAAATTGAGCAATATCTGCCTCTGCTGTCTCTAAGCTTCCCTCTTCTAAAGCTGGTTCACTAAAAGATTCGAGAAAATCTTATAAAACACCACATGACAGGAGAATCTACATAGAAAATAAACATGTATTTAGCATCTTTTTTATGAATAAGAAACAAAGAGATCCCTGGCCAGGTTTCAGTCTTTTGAATTTATGGAGTCCTTTATGGAAATACACATTGACATAAAATATGGTATGGTCAATGGTTCACTCATTATGGAATTTTGAGGAAGGGACTGTATGATGTAAATATGCTTTAATTAAGTATTGGATTTAGAAATAACAAAATGTATTCATTTTACCTACTTAGACAGGTGGTAAAGCTGACATTTAAAGCGTTATTTACAAAGCTACTTACTTCAGACATCTTCAAACCTTGTTAAGATTATATCAGAAGTTACTACTGAGACCCATGTCATCAAAAGTCTAGTGTGTAAAGTATGAAAACAGATCACAGCTATCTATATAGTAGTTTA